ACCACATGTCAACCAAGTTCAGTTCTTCCATTTTTGGCAACAAAAAGTTTGTTAGCATCGAACGATAGCGATCGCCATTCACCGTAACGTTGCGTCCAACAGCATCTTTGAAAAAATACGGTCCAATGATTCCACCAGCGTACAAACCACACCAAACAGTGCATTTTTCGGGATGCATGGGCAGTTCTTGAACGGCTTCTGGTTGCTCTTCACTCCAAATGCGGCAATTTTGCTTATTTACGAAGCCATTCAACCAGAAATGAGCCTCATCGCTGAACAAAATTTGTCGATAAAAAAGCGGATTTTCTGCCAACTTTTCTAGGGCCCATTCACTGAAAATTCGACGTTGTTGTTGTTAGTAAGTCTATTCATGATGAAATTTCAAAGCATACTGAGCATCTTTCTCTTTGACACCATGTCTGAAATCCCACGTGATCTGTCAAATACTAATGCATGAAAATCCTAACCTCAAAAAAATCACCCGTTACTTGGACTCTGCCTTACCGGCGAGTTTTTTCCTTCCCTATAGTCGGTTACAGTTCCTGAAGTTGCCTCTCTTCGCTGAGTGATAAGCCCACTTCGTCAAGAAGGATGCCTTCATTTTCACATTTTTGGAAATGATCATCCGCTCCAGATGCTTCGTAGCAGCTTTCTGCAGGCATTAACAACCTTGGTTGTGATTATAAATTCCGTCCAGGCGACTCGTTAGGCATTAAAAGCATCAAGGAAACAAGTTTTCACGCCTAGCACTGACCCAATGCAAGTTTATTAGCTCCGTAAAACTGTTCACTAAACTAAGGACCAGCAGTGTATAGGAAACTCAACTTCACTAAATTGCCCAACCTTTGCTGGTCGTGTAAAAATTTTCAAACATTTCAATACCTTCTTCAAAGCAAAAAATTTTGCTTTTCACAGTTATCTTTCAATAGTAGCCAAAATATTGCTGATTTCGTCGTTAGCCAAAAAAGTTTGCCCCTACCCAGCGCAGTGAGCGTCAATGCTCCAAGGAAATATTTCAATTGTGTTAAATTTAATTGCGCAATTTCGCACGCCACACACAACCGTTACTATCAAACACGTGAAAAAAGCCAATTGGAAATCCCATGGACCTCTAATGGAGGCCAATGCTACTTTAATGCGCCCCCCCCCCATGGTGCATAAATTGTAAATAACGGTAAATTCAACCTTGCCTCTGATCCGTCCCATGAGTATGAATAAATTGTTAAGCCGGATTTCCGGTATAAATGAGTACATAAAAACTGGCGTACGTGCATGAATGCCGAACTGAGCGCATACATATACATACATACATAAGTATTAAGGCAAAAATATGCCATGGAGTTCAATATTTAGTGCTTAATAAAAGGTGTGATGCTACAAAA